TACGGATCTTCGTCTTGCTTAGCCTTAACATGCGTAACAAGGGAGGATTGCGCTAAGACATAAGCAGTTATATCTCCTTCTTCGGTCTCATCAATCTAATTCCGTCATTTGCTAGTTTTTGAATTTCTCGACCCAAAGATCGCCTTTGTACTGCAAGATGGGCCAAGACACCCATTGACTTCCTACTAAGTGCATCTACTACCACATTAGCTTTGCCCGGGTGATAAAGGATATTGATGTCATAATCTTTCAATAGCTCGAGCCACCTCTCTGTCTCAAATTTAGTTCTTTTTGCTTGAAAATGTACTGGAGGCTTTTGTGATCTGTAAACACTTCAGAATGCTCGCCATAAAGGTAGTGTCGCCATATTTTTAATGCAAACACCACTGCTGCAAGCTCCAAGTCGTGCGTGGGATAGTTCTTTTCATGATTCTTTAACTGCCTGGAAGCATAAGCAATAACTTTTCCATTTTGCATAAGAACACAACCGAGACCAACTCTCGAGGCATCACAATATACCGTGAACCCACCCGAACCTGGCGGCAAGGTTAATATAGGTGCAGTGGTCAACCTTTTCTTTAACTCTTGAAAGCTCTGCTCACAAGCGTCTGACCATTGGAACTTAACTGCTTTCTGAGTCAACTTAGTTAATGGGGCTGCAAGTGAGGAAAACCCCTCCACAAACCTTCTATAGTAGCCAGCTAACCCCAAGAAACTCCTGATTTCGGTTGGCGTTGTCGGCCTAGGCCAGTTCTTGACTGCTTCTGTCTTCTGAGGGTCTACTTTTATTCCTTCACTAGATACCACGTGGCCTAAGAATGCCACTGACTGCAACCAGAACTCACATTTTAAAAATTTGGCATAAAGCTCATTCTCCTTCAAGGTCTGCAAGGCTATTTTGAGGTGTTCTGCATGATCTTCCTTGCTCTTAAAGTACACCAAAATATCGTCTATAAACACAATAATAAAGGTATCCAGGAATGGCTTGAAAACTCTGTTCATAAGGTCCATAAATGCAGCTGGAGCATTTGTCAATCCGAAGGACATCACTAGAAATTCATAGTGCCCGTAGCGAGTTCTAAAGGCTGTTTTAGATATATCTTCTTTTCTGATTCTCAACTGATGGTACCCCGACCTCAAGTCTATTTTTGAAAAGTACTTTACACCCTGAAGTTGATCAAATAAATCATCAATTCTTGGCAGTGGGTACTTGTTCTTAATGGTAGCTTTATTCAACTGCCGATAGTCGACACACATTCTGAGAGACCCATCTTTCTTCTTGACAAACAGAACCAGGGCACCCCATGGTGAAACAATCGGTTTGATGAAGCCCTTGTCAAGAAGGTCTTTCAACTGTTCTCTCAACTCATTAAGTTCTGCTGGAGCCATCCTATAAGGAGGTATAGATATGGGCTGAGTGCCTGGCATGAGATTAATGCCGAAGTCTATGATTCTTTCGGGAGGAAGTCCGGGAGATCATCTGGGAAAACTTTTGGAAATTCTCTAACAACTGGCACTGACTGAAGAGCTGGTGGTTCTGATTCTGGATTAATAATGTGAGCCAAATAGGCGAGACACCCCATACCGATCATCCGTTGTGCCATAAGGTAAGAAATAAACTTACCGACAAGTTATGCTGAACTACCCTTCCACTCTAAGACTTCTTCATTTGGAAATTGGAACCTGACTATCTTGGCATGACAATCTAACATGGCATAGCGGGAAGACAACCAATCCATACCCATGATCACATCAAAATCCACCATTTATAACTCTATGAGATCGGCTTTGGTGTTGCGACCTTGGACTGAAACTATACAACCTCTATAGACTCTGGTGACTTTCACTGACTCTCCAACTGGAGTAGATACTAGGAACGACTCACTAAGTTGTTCAGGTTCTAGTCCGAGGTTAATTGCAAAGTATGGAGTCACATATGAAAACGTTGAACCTGGATCCATTATGGCATAAGCATTATGTGAGCAGACTAAAAGTATACCTGTAATAACTTCTGCAGATGCCTCTGCACTCTGACGATCAAGTGTAGCAAACAAACGGGGATGTCCCCCTCCCTGAGTAACTCGGTCTGCACCTCTGCCTGCTCCATGCCCGGTCTGAATATAAGAACCACGAGCCTGAGGTGGTGCAACTGCAGTAGCTGAGGAACTAGAAGGACGAGTTGATCCACCACTTAAATTACGTCGCAACTTTGGGCAGTTGGCCTTTATATGACCAGTGTCTCCACAATGGTAGCAACCATGAAACCCGAGCTTGCACTGACCTAAATGTTGCCGCTTACATGTTCCACAAAGACCTTGTTGGTGTGAATGTTGCTCAGCATGACTCTGGCTATGTGAGGGTGATGTCCTAAAATTCTGATTCTGGCGAGACTGATTTCCATTACTCTGAGTACGTCTGAAGGAAGACCCACCACCTGACTGATGACCGGACTGAGCTGGTGCTAATGACTCCTTATTAGAGGAATCCCTTCCATCTCCACTGGATGTACCATTAAACCTGTCCGCTGTCCGGGCTTTCTTGTTATGCTCTTTTTCTTCTCTCCTTTGTTGTCTGTCTTTTTCTAAGTGCTTGGCAAATCCCACAACATAAGAGAAGGCTGTCATCCCTATTGCTGCAGCTGATGTCGTATCCTTAATGTGGTAAGCTAAATGTTGGCCCAAGATTAGTTGAAGTTTTGAAGAATGACAAACGAACTCAGTGAAGGACCAGGTTCATCTAAGGAGACACAGTTGTTATGGCCCATACACATGAGATGCACGTGAAGAAGATGAGTCCTTGAGATCAAGCAGCAATATCTTGATGAATATCTTCTGAACTGATCGAAAAGATTGCATATAGGATAAGGAGTTGAAGTCTCCTTATGAAAAGAGAATTACATCCGGATCAAGAATATGGATTAGGATTTAGAGTTGTTCTTGGACTCGAATTGTCAAAGGATCCACAATTCGAGTTCTTATCAAACTCTGATTACTAACTCTATAAGTATAACGATTGTTCTCTTTTAACATGTGATTGCACATAAGCTGAAGTTAAACCAAATTGAGAGCAAAAGAGCTATGCGATTGTTGCAAGCAATTTGTGTGTGATACAAGTGTGCAAATCTGAAGCTACAAGAACTAAGTGTGAAGAACCAATTCCATTGTGTCTTTCTTTATTTCTAGTTCAATTGTAGTAGGTGTTTTAACATTGTACCTTTCCAGCTTTCTTAGAAGCAATTGTATTAGGTGCATTGAGTATTCAAGTTAGAGTTAACTTGAAAGTGTCGCAACAGTTGAGGCTGTGTGCTACACTGGGATTAGAGTTAATCCTTAGGTTTACAAAGAGTTTTGTAATGCTGTTTTTGGCTCATTGAAGTTTAGTGGAAGTTTGGGAAAATCCTACTGAGTAGTAGGTCGTGGTTTTTTTCACCTTTTGAGCCAGGTGTTTTCCACGTAAAAATCTCTGTGTTCTTTATTTCTGTATTTTAATTCCGCAAACAGTAGAAGTTAGAACACCTAGAAGAACCAGGTTCTTCTAACGCGAAAATTAGGTACCACACAAATCACCCCCCTCTTGTGTGGTGTTGACATCTAAAACATCAATTGGTATCAGAGCGGGTTATCCTTGAAGAGGCTAACGCCTTAGGAGAAGATCAAAAATGAGTGCACCACCTGGGAACTGGGAAGGGCAATCCACTGCCAGACCTCCACTTTTCAATGGTTTGTATTACTCTTGGTGGAAGAACATAATGAGAGATCATATCATAGGGGAAGACTATGAACTTTGGGATATAATTACTGATGGTACCCTAGTTACCACTAAGAAGAATGCAGAAGGAATTGATGTGCCAAAAACAAGGGCTGATTGTACTGCTGAGGATCTGAAGAAATGGGAGAAAAAAAGTGGCTAGTGTGTGGTCTAGGACCAGATGAGTACAGCAGGATTCAAAGCTGTACAACTGTTAAGGAAATATGGGACACTCTACAAGTGGCNTGAGCCAAATAGGCGAGACACCCCTTACCGATCATTCGTTGTGCCTTAAGGTAAGAAATAAACTTACCTACAAGCGATGTTGAACTACCCTTCCACTCTAAGACTTCTTCATTTGGAAATTGGAACCTGACTATCTTGGCATGACAATCTAACATGGCATAGCGGGAAGACAACCAATCCATACCCATGATCACATCAAAATCCACCATTTATAACTCTATGAGATCGGCTTTGGTGTTGCGACCTTGGACTGAAACTATACAACCTCTATAGACTCTGGTGACTTTCACTGACTCGCCAACTGGAGTAGATACTAGGAACGACTCACTAAGTTGTTCAGGTTCTAGTCCGAGGTTAATTGCAAAGTATGGAGTCACATATGAAAACATTGAACCTGGATCCATTATGGCATAAGCATTATGTGAGCAGACTAAAAGTATACCTGTAATAACTTATGCAGATGCCTCTGCACTCTGACGATCAAGTGTAGCAAACAAACGGGGATGTCCCCCTCCCTGAGTAACTCGGTCTGCACCTCTGCCTGCTCCATGCCCGGTCTGAATATAAGAACCACGAGCCTGAGGTGGTGCAACTGCAGTAGCTGAGGAACTAGAAGGACGAGTTGATCCACCACTTAAATTACGTCGCAACTTTGGGCAGTTGGCCTTTATATGACCAGTGTCTCCACAATGGTATCAACCATGAAACCCGAGCTTGCACTGACCTGAATGTTGCCGCTTACATGTTCCACAAAGACCTTGTTGGTGTGAATGCTGCTCAGCATGACTCTGGCTATGTGAGGATGATGTCCTAAAATTCTGATTCTGGCGAGACTGATTTCCATTTCTCTGAGTACGTCTGAAGGAAGACCCACCACCTGACTGATGACCGGACTGAGCTCGTGCTAATGACTCCTTATTAGAGGAATCCCTTCCACCTCCACTGGATGTACCATTAAACCTACCCATTGTCCGAGATTTCTTGTTATGCTCTTTTTCTTCTCTCCTTTATTGTCTGTCTTTTTCTAAGTGCTTGGCAAACCCCACAACAGAGGAGAAGACTGTCATCCCTACTGCTGCAGCTGATGTCGTATCCTTAATGTGGTAAGCTAGACCGCCAACAAACCTGCGAATCTTTGCTCTTTCTGACTTAACCATGTGAGGAGCATGCTTAGCCAACCTTATGAATTCCATGTAGTACTCTTGCACACTTTTATTCCCTTGCTTGAGCTGTTCGAACTCTGTAGCCTTAGCTTCCCTATCCTCTTCTGGGATAAAGTTAGCCATGAAGGCCTCTTCAAATTCTTCCCAAGTAGGCGGACCATCATCTTCATCTCTTTTATTTTCCCACATCTCAAACCAAGCGCCGACCACATCTCTAAGCTGGTAAGCAGCCAGCTCCACAACTTCATCATCAAATGCTTTCATCACTCGGAGGGCTTTCTTGACACCCTCCAGCCACAACATCGGATCTTCATCAACTATAGAACCATGGAACACTAGAGGACTCAACTTCAAAAATTCATTCACTCTTGAGGACTCAGAATTGTTTTGTCTATTTGATTGAGGTGGAATCTCATCTCTTCTCTCGTTCTGGTTGGCCATAAAGGCTTTAAACATCTCCATAGCACTGTTGACAACATTAAACATCTGACCCACCTCGGGAGATATAGTTGCCTGAGCCGGAGCTGCTGTTGGGGGCGGTACTGGATCCTGAGGTACTGGATCATCATGCTCCACGCCTTCTTCTTGTTCAACCTGGGGTACTTGGACTCCCTTTGTGGATTTTCCCCTCATTTTCTGAGTCGAAGCCTTCTTAGTTCTACCTTGAGCCACAATAGTAGCGATAGTTTCTTGAGCAGCATCCTGAGTGTCGGTGTCAGAGTTGCGAGTACGACCCATTTCTGCGAGTTTTGGAGAAACGAATAAATTAGATAATTTCTTAGAGGTAGACTCTACTGCACGATCTAATGTATGAAAAAAAAGAGACTTTTCCTAAATGCTTGTAGCTTCCTGTTTATAAGTATGGCGCGCTTCATACCCATAAACAAGACTCTACTAACACGGCTTCATAGACCCCTAGGACTCCATAAACCTGAGGCTCTGATACCAAGTTTGTCACGACCCATTTTCTGAACAAGCCGGACCGGCACTCGATCACTAAACATGACCGAGCGAACCATCTCTGCTTATCAAATCTATTATATCTCCAAACTTTATATGCAACAAGTCAATACTCTAACCAAATACTTTTGTTTAATTTAAGCATTTAAATAAATCAACTCCAAAATATTATTCATAGTAACCAATGAAATACTACTAAGTTATTATCAAAAACATCTGAATCTTAACCCAACGGCTGTCTATGAAGCCTCTACTGATAAACTGACGCACTGCTCAGGACATGAGATTTCCTGGTCAGATCTCTAAGTAACAAAGAAATAACTAAATAAAGATGACTCTAAGGAATACTCCACGAACAAAAGCGGAGCTCACCAATAGCACTGGAAGCGAAGGAAGTCCTAACTCGTAGCCTGCTCGCCTGCAATCCGGTTCCTACGTTGTACCGCAGACCAACGTAGGTTCCCAAAAGAGAACGTCAGTACCATCCATTGTACTCAGTGAGTCTCAACAACAGGGGGCGAAACTTTAATAACATATACATTATGAGCAAAGGTTCTAAATGCATGTAAAACATAAAGCTTATAAGAATAATCCTAAATAATTGCATAATAGCAGTTATGAATATTCTAAAAGAAATTCTTTTTCCTTTTTTCTTTCTTTAAAAAAAATACTTCACTTTATACTTTGGGAGTTCCAACTATCCTGACTTAATTCTGTCTCAGTCACCGTGTGATCGGCACGGGTTCGATCCCAACCTGATCGAATAGGCCCAATCCACGAGGTGCCACTCGCTTCATGGTTCTCAGCGCTCATGTATCATACCTTAGCATGGCTAAGTAAATTCTCAGCAACGAGACCCTCGGCTCGTGTGCTCCCTACTTTGGCACAAGTAGTTTCAGGAAGTCAACGCCTTGGTCAGGACCCTAGGCCTAGACGATGACCCCTTCTCAGAATAAAGGATACTCCCAAAAATCTTTTCTTGCTAAAACTTCTTCTTGTGACCTTTCAAGTCTAAATCTTTTCTTTATATAACACCATGCACATGCTCATATTGGTGTCCTTAAATGTAAAGCATGGCATAAGAATGAAATAAACATATAAAAATATTTCTAAAGATTCTTTCTTCTTCATAAATTTTCAACATGAAAATAGCATATATGAATAACACAAAAATCTGAAAATAAGAATGAAATAAACATATGAAAATATTTCTAAAGATTCTTTCTTCTTCATAAATTTTCAACATGAAAATAGCATATATGAATAACATAAAAATCTGAAATTTATGCACATATATCCAAATAATCATCTAAACTTTAGCTAGAAAATAATTCTAGGCTAATAGGTACTTACTACTCCAATTAAGTATATAGTAACCCTTTTATGCAATTCATCAAACACCTTGTGTGCGTGCTTTTGTGAGTTAAACCACTTTAGTAAAGGGTTATATCAACTCACCTCAAAACTTCTCGAGCCAATACGTAGGCCCCAGTCCAATTGACACCAGTCAACCAATCGATTCTACAACAACCAGTGTATTTTAATCAATTTTAAAGTTTCACACCTAAACATGAAATTTATTGTTGATATAGAGAAGAAGGGAATTAACTATCCAATTTTTACCTATTACTATTGTAGGATAATTGACAATAGGGAATTTCATATACCTGAATTCAAGAACTAGTGATTTGTAAAGGACCCTAGAATCTTTTCGTGGCCTCCGTGAGTAAGCAGCGCTGCCTCTGTTTCGTAGGCTTGTGTTTGCTTTGCTTTTTTTTTTTTTTTTTTTTTTTGTTTTTGTTTTGTTTCTTCGAATAAGGCTTCTGCCTTTTTGTTGCTTTTCTGAACAAGGCTTCTGCCTTTTGCCTCCTTCTAAAGTGGAATACGTACTACTAAATGCAAGGCTTTAAGTCCTTTGTTTTGTTATTTTATTTATTTTCCCTTTTTCTTTTGACTTCACTAGTATTTAATTATATTTACTTTTAATAATTAATAACATTAAAATTGTTAATATTTCCCTAATTGTACATCCAATTATTTATAAATAGAGAAGTAATTCAAAATGAATCATAGGGGTTTTAGTCCATAATAGAAGTAGAATTCAAGATTATAAAAATAAATAATTAAATTCTTTATTTCGCGTGTCTTAAAACTTTTATATATTTGAGGAGTGTTACAGAATCCTTTTCACTGTTTCAACCTAACTTTCACAATTTCAACCTAAGTTCAAAGAAAAGTTAGCCACTTTCTTATTTTTTTTTGGTAATTTCTTCTCACATAGTAATTAACAGGGATAGGAAATAGCAATTGGACAACAATGGCCATCAAGCTATTGGGATTCGAATTTGTGCAATGTGGCTTGTAGTAAGACAAATTTTATTGTTGGTACAGAAATCATATAAAGAAGACAAACATGAGCTGAAAAGTCAAGTTTACGGAAATGAAAGTCATATAATTTGACAATTTTAAAACAAATTTTATTATCGGTACAGAAATCATATAAAGAAGACAAACATGAGCTTGAAAAGTCAAGCTTACGGAATTAAACATTTTCTGCAGTGATTGTGTCAGAAATAGAGGTGAAGGTGGGATTTAATTTGTAGGGTCATGCGGAATAAATAAAGAACCGTCAATTTATTTTTTATTTTATTTTTATTCTCAAGTCTTCCTTTTTAAGAAAAACAGGATAAAGAAATTTTGCAGTTCTTTCTAAATACAATTGTCCAATAGCTTCTTTTGATGAACCTCTGGCATCACATTATGTTCTTTTACACCCGATGGGGTAATCATAGTTATTACTACTACAAAATAAGAGGATATACTATAATAAATGCAGATTATTACAGTTCTGTACTGGAATTTCATATCAAATTAGGATAAACGGAACGAATGAAAAAGTCTCTAAATTATGCATTTCCATATTACAGAACACCTAGACGGGGCGGAGGCAGTATTGAAAATAAGGGGATTATACTCGAACCAATGGCGGATTCAAAATTTTTAAGTCATGGGTGCTCAACCGCTTTACTTAATATTTACTCTCTGTGATGGGTGCTCAGTCAATATTTTTGTATATTATTAGTACTAGACTCCAACATAAAAATATACAGTTTCGGTAAGCACAATGGGTGCTTGAGCAGCTTCAATGTAAATCCGCCACTGATTCGAACACGTGACCTAAAGTATCTTTGTTTGAACCCTTTTGCTAGTACAATGAATAGAAAACATTTACCGATGCACTGTGTAATTTTCCAAACAAAGGATATTCATTGACCATTGTTGGACCAATCTAGCTCCTCAACTGCACCTAGCCAGTACCAAGCTGCAATATTGAATGTTAATGATCTGTAGGAGGATGCAACAATGGTAGAAGTTCTGTAAATGCAATAATACATAAAATCATGCACTTACTTCTTCATGATTAGTACAATTATTTGTTCTATAATTCGCTGTAGTAGAAGTTAGTTGACGCATGTCAATTAATTCACGTAAATATTGGGAGAAAAACTTGTTTTTGTTACTCATTATAAATGCCAACATTTAACTACCCTTTCTTTTAAATTTAAAACTAAATAAAAAAACAAGATGTACAATAGTAGAAATACTGGCAATCATACCCTTACAACACTTTGTTAAAAAAGTAGTCAAAGTTTCGCATCTAAAGAAAAAGAGCAACCCGATACACTAAGCTCTTGCTATGCTAAGGTCCGGGGAAGGGCCTCACAAGGGTCTACTCGACGCAACTAGGAGTGGCAAACGGGCGGGTCGGGTCGGGTCGAAAACGGGTAATGAAAAAACGGATAAATTATCCTACCCGACCCATAATACGGATAAAAAATGGGTTAACCGGCGGATAATATGGATAACCATATCATCCATGACTTCTTGCATATGATCACTTTTGAGGAATTCTTTCTTAGTCTCTCTAACTTGAGGAACCCTCAATTTGAGGCTTTACAAATGTAAAAATTAGACTCATTGGTTATCAATTGGTTAACCATTTTCTAAATGGATAATATGGTTCTACCATATTTGATCTGTTTGTAAATAGTTCATTATCCAACCCATTTTTAGTAGATAATATGGGTGGTTAATTGTTTTCTTTTAACCATTTTGCCACCCCTATGCGCAGCCTTACCTTGCATTTCTGTAAGACACTGTTTCTAAAGCTCGAACCTTGTCACGTGGCAACAATTTTACTTGATAAGCCTAAGTAACTAATTGAAGATTTTCAGTAAAATAAGTGACATAAATGAGAGCTAACTAAGTAGGTTTACAGGTAGAAAAGAGACGAGGTGTACAGTTGGAGACCTCATTGAATGATGATAATGGCGTTTTATCAAACAGCTAGCTATGCCTGTGACCACCCATTGCTGAAAATCCTTTTTTCTATATATATTTTACAAAAAAAAAAAAAAAAAAAAAAAACCTTTGAGTTTTTTCAATCTTTCTGTCATTCATTAAAAATCAAGATACATGGGACCTAAACTCATGTGAGGTCCTTAACTATGTGTCGGTAAGACAGTCATAAAAACCAGACTTTTCTTTACATACTGCTAAGTAGTTAAGTACTATAAATATACCCTTTAGTCAGTTGTAACAAACACAACAACACCATTCAGAATTTACATTTTTTTGGTACAGAATGAGGCTGCAGTCACTTTGTGGCAGAGTCCTCCTTGGACTGTCTCTGACTTTATTACTCTCTAGTTTCTGCTTTGCTGATGACAACACAATCAAAGTTTTTGGCATTGGAGAATGCGCTGATTGCAAAGAGAATAACATTAACACCATTCATGCTCTCTCAGGTTCTTTCTAATTTAGTTTGATTGCATGTCAATATGCTATTGTCTCTTTATCCTAAGCTTTCTCTTTATCCTAAGCTTACATGCACGCAGAGGCGAATCCAGGATTTAGATCCTATGGATTCAACTTTAAAGGATTTTAACATTGAGCTGATTGTATTTTTAAAGTTATGTGCAATTTTAACGAATTTTTACACATAGATTCAGTGGCAAAGCTAGAAAATTGAATAAGGGTGTTCAAAATTTGAATATTCTTTGCTAGTGAGCTATGCAAGGGTGTTCAAAGTCTATCTTTTATCAATAACAGAGTACTATATTTTACCCTATACACGATATAATTTTCCAGCAAAGGGTGTTTAGTTAACCACCCTTAGCCACACGTAGCTTCGCCCCTGCATAAATTTATGCTCCGCGTCGAAAGTATTAGGTTCAGATGAAACCGGCGGCCAAACTCTACATCCGCCCCTGCCTACATGATGTTTAAGTGTCACTCTTTATATGATTATAAAAAATAATCACTTCTTGAGCTAGCTTTCGGCTGTATTAGGTCCAATATCTATCTGTCTAAAAAATTAGTCAGCATCTAACAATGTTACATTATTGGTTTCAGGGCTTCATGTAAGCATTGACTGCAAGCTTGAGAATGGAGAAATCAAAACAAGGGGTGAAGGAGAGCTTGACAAAGATGGCAAATTTGAAGTGTCACTTCCTAAGGAAATGATAAAAGATGGCAAGCTGAAGGAAGAATGCTATGCACAATTACATAGTGCATCAGCTGCACCATGTCCAGCACACAATGGCATTGAATCCAACAAGATTGTGATCATAAAAAATGATGGAAAACACTCATTAAAACCTGCTGGAAATATTAAATTCTCAACAGCATTATGCACTTCTGCTTTCTTGTGGCCTCACTTTAAATATCCACCATTGCCAACGTTGCCACCTTTCCCTAAAGATCATCCTTGGATGAAACATTTCCCTAATTTGCCACCTTTCCCACTTCCCCCTATTCCTCCAATTTTCAAAAAACCATGTCCACCTCCAATTCCAAAGCCAAATCCTCCTCCGGTTCCCGTTTACAATCCTACACCAGAACCACCGGTAGTAAAGCCACTTCCTCCTCCAGTTCCCATTTACAAACCCAAGCCTAAACCAGAACCACCAGTAGTAAAGCCTATGCCTCCTCCAGTTCCTGTTTACAAACCAAAACCAAAGCCTCCTTCAGTTCCCATTTACAAACCCAAGCCTAAACCCGAACCACCAGTAGTAAAACCTAATCCTCCTCCAGTTCCTGTTTACAAACCAAAACCAAAGCCTCCTTCAGTTCCCATTTACAAACCCAAGCCTAAACCCGAACCACCAGTAGTAAAACCTAATCCTCCTCCAGTTCCTGTTTACAAACCAAAGCCAAAGCCTCCTTCAGTTCCCATTTACAAGCCCAAGCCTAAACCCGACCCACCAGTAGTAAAACCTAATCCTCCTTCAGTTCCTATTTACAAACCTAAACCAAAGCCTCCAGTTAAAAAGCCATGCCCCCCAAAACCAAAGCCTCCTGCAGTTCCCACTTACAAACCTAAGCCCAAACCAGAACCACCAGTAGTAAAGCCACTTCCTCCTCCAGTTCCAGTATACAAGCCACCAGTAGTGAAGCCACTGCCTCCTCCAGTTCCAATGTACAAGCCACCAGTAGTGAAGCCACTGCCTCCTCCAGTTCCGGTATATAAGCCACCAGTAGTGAAGCCACTGCCTCCTCCGGTTCCGGTATACGAGCCACCGGTAGTAAAACCTATGCCACCACCTGTTCCAATTTACAAGCCACCATTCTACAAAAAACCATGCCCACCACTTCCACAACTTCCACCTTTCCCTAAACTTCCTCCATTCCACCATCCATTCTTCCCACCATTTCCTCCTTCTATTCCTCATCAACCATAGACAAACATTACAAAGCCGTGAAAATTATTTGCAATTTATGAAATAAGTTGATCAAACGCTGGAACATTCAAGAGATATGATGCTTGAGAATGTGAAAGGAAAAGAACAGAGAATAGGGAAGTTGATGGGGTGGCGAGTTGATTTTTACTGTGTTAGTTTGTTTAGTTGAGTGTTCATGCAAATGTTTGTACATCTTCAAGTGAATTATGGTCCGGGGAATAATTACTACGGGTATATCTATTGTATACTAGTGTATACGTTAAAGAACGGATCTCTTTCTTTTTCATTATGTTACTGTTTTTTGTTTTTCATGGAAACTTGTACTAGTCATCTCTTTTTTAATATACTGTTGGGTTTTAATTACTCTTTCATGTAATCTTGTATTGTTCCTCTCTTTATATATATTTGTCTTTGTTATTCATTGGGCAAACAATAGGTTATCAATTACGGGGATTTCTGTTTTTAGAAAATCTCCTTTTTAATCTGAAAATTATGTTGATCATTTTCCTCTCTATTAATTTACAAAGTTAACATGTCATTATTAAGAAAATTAGACCATAATAATCCATGCAGATCGATAGAAACAAAACTAGTACTGTATGCAGTGATCATTGGCGCGATTGATGGAGATATAAATTATGTTGTTTGTGTCAATTTTTATCATAATCATTGTTGGATTAAATGTCATTTTCCGTTGCTATAAAGAGTCAAATTAAATATATAGCAGCTTCCACGGCTACCGACAAATACCATTAAATGTTACCTACTTGTGTAGCTAAACACTCAAACTTCCTATCTATGATTAGTAATTGATGATTAAGCAATTAACAGAGAATAATTCATTTGCTTTGGGAATTACATTATTTGTTGAGCTATAATATTAGTTCTAGGAGTACTTTTTAAACCAATGCCGCACTTACCTTTCAGTTTTAATTTTTCATAACCTTTGCTTTTAATAAATTGTCAGAGTTGACAAGAAAGATGAACAAGAAAAGGGCGAAAAAAGAACAATAAGAGAAAAGAAAATACTAGTGCATGGGCTTTTAATACGTTTTTCTTGCTTTGATTTGTGGAATCATACACATAATAGTTCGATTGCAGAAACTGTTATTTTAAGTAATGCAAAATGATTATAAACGGCTTGTAATTTGTTTTCTTTTACTTATCACTTTATCATATACTAGATAATTATACCCGTGCAATGCAGGGGCCTAACATAGTAAGGAACAATTTTGTAAAAGTTTTGCAGAAATCATTAGTTATGCACATGTAAAAAGTTAAAGAGAATCTGTCAATTTACATAGATTCAGTGTAGATCGCTAGTAATTGAAACATGCAATGAGATGAATCTACAATGGGGGAAGGTTCTAGAGAGAAGGAAGAAAGAAGATTTTCATTTTAGTTAGTTCTAATACATAGAACAGTGTTAACCACCTCTTAACTAACTAATTTTCTCACCCTCTAACTTTCTCTAATTACAAACTGAACCCACAATTAATCATCTATCACAACACTCCCCCTCAAGCTGGAGGGTGGAATACATCGAGCACTCCTAGCTAGTCCAAGAGTAACTTGTGTTGGGCTGCTCCAAGTCCTTTTGTCATCAGATCTGCCATCTGTTCTTGTGGGAATGTAGTTGGTTGTGACTATTCCTTCCTTGATTTTTTCTCTTACAAAATGACAGTCGATTTCTATGTGCTTTGTTCTTTCGTGAAAAATTGAATTTGCTGCAATTCTACTGCTGCCTTGCTGTCACAATGTAGATGTATAGGTTCGTTCACTTTGTTTCCCAATTCTTCTAACAAACCCTTCATCCACATGAGCTCTGCTACAGCTGCTGCCATGCTTCTGTATTCTGCTTCTGTAGAGCTTCTACCAACAGTTTGCTGCTTCTTGGATTTCCAGGACAGAAGAGAATCACCCAGTTTCACCACATAACCTGTCACTGACCTCCTAGTGTTTGGGCAAGCTGCCCAATCTGAATCACAGTATGCTGTGAGCTCATCAGTAGCTCCACACTTTAGTAGAATTCCCAGACCTGGACTCCCCTTGACATATTTGACAACCCTTAGAGCTGCTTCCATATGTGACTCTATAGGATGTTGCATGAACTGGCTCAACACTTGGACTGCAAAGGATATGTCTGGCCTTGTGATTGTTAAATGCAATAGCTTGTCAATTAGTTTTTGATAGCTGCTTGCTTCCTGCAACTCTGTATCATTAGCATTGCCGACATGCTTGTCATACTCAACTGTGGTAAGCTTGTGGTTTTGTTCCATTGGTGTGGATACTGGTTTGCAAGCACTTAGTCCAACTTCTGAGATAAGTTGCAAGGCATATTTTCTCTGATTGAGTAAAATGCCTTTGTTGGATCTCATCACTTCAATTCCCAGGAAGTATCTAAGCTCCCCTAAGTCTTTCATTTTAAAGTTATTATGTAGAGTCTCCTTTGCTTCCTGTATCAAACTACTATTACTTCCTAATATTAGAAGATCATCCACATATACCAATACAATGACAATATCTGTCTTATCCCTTTTGGTGAATAATGAATGATCATAAGATCTCTGAGTGAAACCAACTTGTAATAGTGCATGTGTTAACTTGATGTTCCACTGCCTTGAGGCTTGCTTTAGGCCATAGAGGGATTTAAGCAGTCGACATACCTTAAATCCCTGAGGTAGCTGCATGTAGACTTCCTCACATAAGTCCCCTTGTAGGAATGCATTGTTAACATCCATTTGAAAAAGAGGCCAGCCTGTTGTGTGTAGCCTTTGGCTACCAATCGAGCTTTAAACCTATCAACCTCACCATTGGCTTTATACTTGATTTTGTACAACCATTTGGACCCAATAGCCTGTTTAGCAGGTGGAAGATCTACTATCTCCCATGTACGATTGTCTTCTAAAGCTTTGATTTCCTATTGCATAGCAAGTACCCAGTCTTGGTCTGTTGCTGCTTCTTTGTATGATGTAGGCTCCACTGAAGCAGAAAAAGCTTGAAGATATGTCTGATATGCAGCTGAAAGTTGATTGTAAGATAGATGATTGGACATGGGATATAGATGTTTGCCTGGTAGTTTAGTGGTGACATAATCCTTGAGCCAGAGTGGTTGCTTGATTTGTCTGTGAGGTTTGGTATTTTCAACAGTTGTAACAGGTGAAGGTATGTCAGTGGATGAAGGTGAAGTGATCAACATGTCATTTTGGGAAGCTGATTCCTCCACCCGGGAAAGATCATTTTGGCCTTCATTAATAGCAATAGTCTCAAAAGCATGGAGGTCTGATGCTATTTCAGGATCTGTCAGGATAGGTGTAGAGTTGGCTTCCTCATCTTGTGAGGTAGATGGTGTATATGGTAGAGTAGTTGGAGGAGGTGGATTGAGATAAAAAACATGCTCACAGAGTCTGAAAACAATGCTTCTTCATCATGGTTATTAGAAGTATGTTTAAAGGGAAAAACGTACTCCTGAAATTTGGCATCCTTGCTAACAAAGATTGTATGAGTATCAAGATCATATAGTCTATAACCTTTTTGTGTCTCAAAATATCCAGCAAACACTGCTCTCCCTGCTCTGGGAGTAAATTTGTCTCCTTTAGGAAGATTACAAGCAAAGCTTTGACATCCAAACACTCTCAAATGATCTAGGTTAGCTGATTTCCCATAGAGCATTGCATAGGGTGTCCTGCCTTGTAACACTGGTGTTGGGAGTCTATTGATTAAGTATACAACAGTCCTAACACAATCACCCCAGAACTTCAAAGGTATTCCATTGTGAAACTTCAGTGCCCTAGTAACATCTAGAATATGCCTATGTTTTCTCTCAACTATGCCATTTTGTTGAGGAGTATATGGGCAACTACTTTCATGTATAATCCCATTTTCAGCCAGTAATTCATTACATTTGGCATTAAAGAATTCTGTGCCATAATCTGATCTCAGGGTCTTGATTCTAGTGTCAAACTGTGTCTTTATTCTTGCAATAAAATTCTTCAATACAACACACACTTCACACTTAGATTGTATTAAGCATACTCATGTGTATCTAGTAAAATCATCAACCATAGTCACAAAGTAATACTTTCTACCATATGTAGGTGTCTTGTAAGGTCCCCACACATCTAAATGAACCAGCTGAAAAACTACCTTAGACTTGCTTACACTGTTAGGAAACTGCAATCTACTTTGTTTAGCTAGAGGACAAATACTACTATTTCTTGATTTCCCTACACATATCTTGTCTTGTAGAGATGAGATATGTTGTATAGAGTTCCAGGATGCATGTCCTAGTCTGTAGTGCCGAAACTGTGTTTGCTCTTCTTTTATTACTGCTCCTACTATTATGCCTGCTGCTTGTGCATATTCCCTTAGTATGTATAGACCATCAAACTCTCTACCAATCCCCAATACCTTGCCACTGTAGAGTCCGAGCAACACACAAAAATCAGGGAAGAACTTCACTGTGCAAGTGAGGTCTCTGGTGAGTTTTGCTACTGACAGCAAATTAAACTTGAAATCTGGCACATGTAATACATCCTTTATATATTTGCCTCCTAAAATAGTAACTTCCCGTATACATTATCTCTGCTTTAATTCCTGTTGGCAATTGAACTCCTTGTCCTCCAAATTGCTTTATATCATGAGCAGTATGATGGGTTGCTTTGACTCTCTTATCATGAGCAATATGATGGGTTGCCCCAGGGTCTACTACCTAACTAGTTAAAGGAATATTGGATAGTAAAGTTATAATACCTGTCATGTTTGTGGAGCATTCTTCACCTCCTTGTTTGTTCAGAAGTCTTATAAGCTGCTGATATTGTTCTTCAGTGAGGAAATGGCCTTGTGGCTGAGTGCATGTCCCTCCTGTTTCTTCAGTTCTTGCAGCATTAGCAAAAGTTCTATTTCCTCCTGGCTGAGGTTTCTTTTTGCTTTTAAAATCAGCTGGATAGCCAACAATTTTGTAACAATTTTCTTCAAATGTCCCTTGTAGCCGCAGTGTTCACAAATCAGCCCAAACTTCTTAGGCTTAAAAACCTGTCCTTTTCCTACAAGCATAGTCAATGGATCTCTATTTGTGTCAACTACACCTAGTGTTCTTTGTCTCTCTTCCTGTCTCACTATAGCATATGCTTCATTTACAGTCACAACTGGTCTTTTGAGAAGAACATTGCTTCTTACATTGCTGTAGCTCTCGTTTAGGCCCATGAGAAACTGCAAAAGTCTCTGATTTCTCAGGTGTTCTAATGAAGGCATCGATTCTTCACAATCACATGAAGGCAGAGGTACCAACACATCCAATTCACTCCATAGATCTGACATCTTTGTATAGTAAATAGTCACAGAATCAGTGCCTTATTTAAGACTAGAAATCTCTGTCCAGAGGTGATATATCCTAGTCAAACTACATCTATCAAATTTCTCCTTAAAATCACTCCATACTTTCCTAGCATTAGGTGCAAAAACTATATTCGACATCAATTCATTAGGAACTGTGCTTCCAATCCACGACAGTACAATCACATCACATTTTTCCCATTGTGCTATTAATTCTCCTATATACGAGCTTTTTACACACGTTCCATCTACAAATCCAAGCTTGCCTTTCCCCATAAGTGCTAGTTTTATTGCCCTACTCCACAAGGCATAATTTTCTGGCCCTGTGAGCTTAATTGGAACTAAAACTAGACCCGGTGCATCTGCTGCTTGAAAAAATAGAGGATGACTGTGCTCAAGTGAGGTTACCTCGTTTCCTGCCATGGCGATCTGAAATTTTGCTTCGTGTCCGATGAATTTCCCCAAATTTTAGCTGACTCGCCGGAACTCCTCGTCGGAGCTAACGTCCTCAGTCTCGCTGCTCTAATACCATGTCAATTTACATAGATTCAATGTAGATCTCTAGTAATTGAAGCATGCAATGAGATGAATCTACAATGGGGGAAGGTTCTAGAGAGAAGGAAGAAAGAAGATTTTCATTTCAGTTAGTTCTAATACACGCGTACACTGTTCTTATATAGAACAGTGTGAACCACCTCTTAACTAATTTTCTCACCCTCTAACTTTCTCTAATCACAAACTGACCCCCACAATTAATCCTCTATCACAACAGAATCAACTTGCTCATAATATGGATTTATTTTTTGCGTAGGGGATATATTCAACCCAATGCAACGTCAAATTAATGCCAACTCAAATTATGAAAATAGAAAAGATACCAAATCTAGCATAAGCCAAACAATGTCCACGAAAGAAAGAACAAAAAAGAATAAAAATTTGTTCAAAGAATTATCTCTTAGGAGCATTCTGTTTCTACAAACTTGTCTCACTAACTCTTCACAATATCCTTTCATAAAATTAATGAATTCTACCATATATACACATCATGTACATAGTGCAACTTAACACAGAAACACAATAAACCACTTGATCCATCAAAGAACATAAAGCCATAGAACTCCCCATTGAAATATCTCTGACTTTTTATCATTCCACAAAATCCATGCAAAAAAAATGTTCCAAGTCCTATTCAGTTCCACATTTGCGAACTCGCACCCCTGGCTGATATAACATTCCAAATGCAAAATGTACACAGTAGACAAAATTGTAAGACATCTAATAATATATCAAATCATTTTAACATATGGGACTCGTGGAAAAGAAGGGTAAAAATCGTTTGGAGCAATTTTCGTATTTATATAAACTTCCAAAACCAACCGTGGAAAAGAAAGAAGAAATTAAAATTGTTTGGATCTTGAGGAGTTTTTGGCAGTAATATAATTTGAGTAGTAATGCACCTTGTTTCAACTGTGAGATCGTTTTTATTAAGTTCAATAGTAAGACTTTAGCCATGGAGGTTAGATACTCTGTTTAAGCTTCTTGTATATTTGTATAAAGGTACAGTTTGACTAAGTAAATGAAAGTGCACTGAAGCTGAAAAAAATGTGAGGTCATGGTTCATGGACGGGGTAATTTCTGCTTCATTCTCTTACTGAAAAATATTGGGACAAACTAATTGAAAGAATATCATTTTCTCAACAATACCCTTGTAGTGGAAAAATTGAGTTTACATATTAAAGAGGTATGAAGATGACGTGTCGTGACACATAGACTGGTCAAAGAATTACAACTGGCAAGGAGACACGAGTTGCAATAGATACGAGCAGAAAGCAAAAGAAGAGGCTCGAGCGATTATTCAAAAAGAGGCAACGCTTGTACCTGTTCAAGTCATTTAAGCCCAAGAGTCAAAGAGAATGAATGTGACAACACATGAGAGTCCAGATACAGTATTTAATGAGCATTAAATACCAAAAACGTTAGAGAATTTGTATTAAATATAATGATTATGTAACGTAGCATTCAATGTCTTTAATTAATTGCCCATAATAGCCTTATTATGATGTAGGCAAAACGTATATCTCCAAGGTACCTATAAAAGGGAGATAACTGATCAATTGTAGGGACACGAAACACTATCTGAATATACTTTGGTTTACTTGTTTCTCTCTTGATTATATTCTTGTTATCCAAATTGCTTTCTTTTATACATTCTTTCGATTATCAGTAACCTGCGTTCTTCTAAATTATAAGCTTTAATCGAAAATCCATTTTTTGGTTAAACAACCCTTATAGCTTAGAGTAGATGGTTGTGCGACATCTTGCTGCTCTTTATTTCCACCAGAAAAAATATGAAAAGAAGCTAGAGCATATTTATTGTCCCCATTTAGTTTTTGAAGGATCTGGTTCTAGCATTAGTTCCACGAAAAAATATAACTTAAGGGATAAAACTATAGAGCATTCAGCAAAAAAGAGAAATATTGTCAAATTTTTAAAATTAGAAAGAAATTCAGTGTGTCATCAAATGACAATAAACTAATATTGTAATACTACAATGTATGTTTGTACATTAAAACATCCATATAACTTTGATTATTCTGGGTTGTCCTTGTAGAATAGAATCAGTGCATGAAAAAAAGAATAGTATTAATTCTACATGAGAACTAAATAATATCCTTATCAATGTTTAGCTGGTCCCTTGAATAGATTTAGCATAGACAATATTGGTAATGGACTTTCTGTGATATGTACTCATACTTTAAAGAGAAATTTTCATAAAGCATTATGTTTTAGTAGTAATTAGTCATCTATAGATACCATTTGCTATATTACGGATTATAGATACCTTTTATGTGGTTATAAGATGTATTTGATGTATTTAAGCTATTGTATTCATGAATACAGTAGCAAAAATAGGCGTGAATCAGGGAAGTCCAGCTAATCAGTTGTTGTATTCGAGTGTATTCGACTGTATTCATGGAGTGAAACATGGGATTACAGCTGGACAGATTATTGTATTCGACTGTATTCACGGCGTGAAATAGGGGATTACACTGTTTTTAAAAGGGAAAGTGAATCAATTAACATAATAGACTCCTAATATAACTCAACAAACTCAAGTATAACACACAAGTTTTGTATTTTCAGTTATAAAAAAGATTCTCAATCGAAAAATACCCCAAAAACATAACAATCTTCAAAAAAGTTATATAATACATCTGAATACATAAATTATATTAATTAAAAAAATATATGAATACATTCATGGCATATAGCGAGACAGTGAATACAATGAAATACATAGAATACAACGAGATATATTGAAATACAATGAAAAAAACCCAATGAATACAATGAAATACATGGAATACAACGAGATACATTGAATTACAATGAAAAAAAAGACAATGAATACAATGAAATACATGAAAAAACATTGAAATATATTAACAGAAAATCAAGTTGCTCAGCCCCAAACTCCGTCGTCTTTGTTCAAGAACAAACCCTAATTTTCGACGAATCTTCCTCGTTATGCCATCGGAATCACGTCGCTCTCCGATGGATCCAAAGTTAAACACTGATGTCGCTCTCCGATGGAATCACTGTAGCTACTCTCAGAAATTCAAACCATTGCACGTATTTGTCAACTGGGATTTGACAAGAATAGATATATAATATGTAGATGTCTTACCAAGAATTAATCTTCTCCACACTAGTATTTTACGGAGCTTATAGTGTCAAAGTGGTAAAATATTATATGGGGTTTTTGCAGGTTGAGAGGATGTATAGGGTTTACGTGAGCAGTTAAAAATGGCTTTGGAATAATCAAAGAAGGAGAAGAGAATGGGATGTATCAAAGTAGAGAGAGAAAGAAAATTGTGTAACTGATTAGCGTATTTAGTGGCTTAGGGCTAGGAGGTAACCAAAATTAAATATTTTGCTATAAACCTTAAAAGGTCTCTATAGAATATAATTTTTTTAAATGGTATTTATTTAAAATAAATAAGGTGTTAACCTTTGCTATAAGAGGTAAAAATTCCTACTTTAAATAGGGGTAAATTTTAAAAATAGCCAGATTTACAACTGGTCGTTTAAAAATAGCCCAATTTCAAAAGTAATCGAAATTTAGCCACTTTTTATATAAAGATAAATCTGAGCGAAAACACTGTTCAAAACCCGAAAAATACTCCAGTATATTATGCTGGAGTTAGAACTCCAGCATAATATACTGGAGTTCCAGCAAGTATATTGGTCCAGTATAATATACTGGAGTTTGGAGCACCGGTGCTCCAGTCTCCAGTATATTATACTGGAGCCAGCAAAGTATACCGGTCCAGCATATTATGCTGGAGTTCATATACAAGTGCACCGAACTCCAGTATATTATGCTGGACCGGTCTCTATTGCAGCAAAATAGTGGCTATTTTTTATTGACTTGGTAAATGCTGGCTATTTTTGATTGACTAGTCCGAAAACTGGCTATACCGTACTATTTTTACTTTAAATAGTTATGTGCAAATCTTCCATTCTTATTCAGTTTCTATTTTTACCATTTTAACTTTCACTTTTACCTATGCACTTTATGCACCAAGGCACAGTATGAAGCATAAGAAAGATCCACATTTTCTTCATTACCATCTAGTAAGAGAAGACTTCCATTGTTTCGTATGGACCGACTAAAAAAGAAAAAAATACAGAATACAATCTTTATTACTGCTAATTTGCACAAGTTTCATAGTCATTCTTATATTAGCAGACAGCAGTCAGTGCCGGAAACTGGAGCTGTTCTATATTACTTATTATTGCATGATATCAATTATTTTCATCATCACTTCCAAAAGCAGTAGGTAAGGTTTTCCTCATGGAAATTTCGTCGAACACTTTATGGACATCACTAATCTTACAGAAAAAATTAAAAAGAGAAATGCATGAAACCCAAAAAAAGTTGGATATCAAATAAAAATATCTAACAGAACATGCATGTCTAAACGAACAAAGATAATTACAAACATGTACACACTCCACGAAGAACATGGAGAAAAATGATACTATCTATTTCTTAGGCAAAATCATACGTATTAAACTTATTAAGAACTAAATAAAGTAACGAAATTATAATCATATATTGCATTGAGTTTGCATATAACATATCAAAGAAGCTTAAGAGGGTAGAATAGAAATCCCCGAAATTATAAAAATCGCTTAAACATCCATTACCCGAAAGCTCAACATGATGATCAAGCCTCCATAAAAACTCAAAGAATCCTGAAAAATTATGGAAATCCCCGGGATAAGAAAAACTCTGCTATCGTCATGTTCAAGACACAACATCTCAATCGTTCAGGAATTAAATCAAATATATTGTGGGCCAAAAGCTAAATACACACACTTAAAAATCAACTGATCAAAGGAACTAATAAATAGAAAACCGATTCTACTCTAGTTCTAATCATTTCACTATGTAGAGATTTACATTTCTTCAAACACCAATTAGTAGCACAAACTTTGAGCAATTCAGAATACACTCAATTCCCCTTTAAGCAAACTGACGCGCAAAATAAAAATTATGACATCCTTAATCTCCCTGTCTATCATTAAATTTCCCCAAAATTATGAAGTGCAATATTAGTTGTTGAAGAAATTAGAGTTATAAAGAATAAAACCAATAAATAAAATAGAAGAGAAATGCAGGAACATTTTTTGAAGTGGAGTGCACACGGTTGCGATTAAGAAAATAGATTGCATCAATTTTTTTTACAAAGAGAATTAGTAACAGATATAAGTGAGAGAGAAAGAGAGGGGCAGAGCAAGGGATACAATGGAGGAGAAGCACGAGAAGGGGAAATAGAGCTCAAGAGGAAGCTAGATGTCCCATTCAAACTAAAAAGATAAAACAGGATATCACTCAAAAGAAGGAAGTTGACTATGCTGAAATGGAGGTTTGAAGTGAGTGTGAAACCCTAACTAATGAGGGAGAAGAGAGAAGAGAAAGAATCGTGAAAATGAATGTAACAGTGAAAAGAAAATAAATGCTCTGCCTTTCTTTACTTGTACAACCTATATATATACAAGAATTTACTAACTACTCTAACCACCTTACTAACTAATCATATGTGTCATTAACTAACTAACTAACTAATACACTAATCCGCTAACACATAAATAGACTAAACTACCTCTATACTCAAGTTATATCTTTTGTCTCAACACTCCCCCTCAAGCTAGGTGGTAGAAAAACATCAACTACACCTAGCTTGGAAAGCAAATACTCGTGTTGTACTCATGGTAGACCTTTGGTTAGAATGTCTGCTAACTGCTCCTTTGTAGCTACATTTTCTATTTGTACATTCTGTATCTTCTACCTTATAAATCGAAGGTCTATTTCAATGTGTTCGGTTCGTTCATGAAACACTGGGTTGGCAGCTATTTGAATTGCTGCTTTACTGTCAGTGTAGATGTTCACAGGGAGACCAACTTATATACCAATGTCTTTGAACAGATCAAGTATCCACACCAATTCTGCTACAGTTGATACAATGCTTCTATACTCAAATTCTGCAGAACTCCTAGAAATGGTGCTTTGTTTCTTTGACTTCCAGGATATCAGGGAATGACCATATTTGACGAAGAAGCCTGTTATTGACTTCCTAGTGATAGGACATGTTGCCCGGTCTACATCACAATATGCAGTGATAGTGTTTCTCTGTTTGTTAGATAACAGTATGCCTTGGCTTGGGTGATTCTTCACATATTTAACCACCCTTTGAGCAGCTTCCAAATGTGATCTTTTTGGTTTCTGCATAAACTGGCTTAGTGTCTGAACACTATATGCTATGTCTGGCCTTGTGACAGTTAAGTAGAGTAGTTTTCCCAGTAACCTTTGATACCGGCTGATGTCTGTTAACACTTCATCATCAGTTGCATTAGAGCTGCCAGTATGTTCATCATACTCCTTAGTGGACAGTTTGATGTTGGCTTCAATAGGTGTTGCTGCAGGTTTTACAGCTCCTAGTCCAATCTTAGAAATCAGCTTTAGAGTGTACTTCCTTTGGTGCATTAGAATGTCTTTTTGTGACCTAGCAAAATCAATGCCAAGAAAGTATTTAATATCTCCTAGATCATTCATTTTAAGTGTCAGCTGCAGCTTAGTCTTCATCTCAGCTATTAGTGTCAGGTTAGGCCAGTGATTAGCATGTCATCAATATACACTAGGATGATTATGATATGTTCCCCTGACCCTTTGATGAACAAGGAGGATCATGTTGGCTTTGCATGAAGCCAAGTCCCAGAAGTGCCTCAGACAGCTTAACATTCCACTGTCTTGGTGCATGTTTGAGCCCATACAGGGATTTCAGGAGTCTACATGCTGGTCTTGTCTCCCCTGACTTTGAAAGCCCCGTGGTAAGGTCATATATATCTTATCATAAAGATATCCTTGAAGAAAGGCATTGTACACATCCATTTGATAAATGTGCCATTGCTCAGAGGCATCCACAACTAGAATGGTTCTAACAATAGCCATCTTAACTACTGGACTAAATGTTTTTCGTAGTCAATACCCTCCTGTTGGCTATACCCTTTGGCCACCGATTTGGCTTTAAACCTCTCCACCTCTCCTGTAGCTTTATACTTCACCTTATAGATCTACTTACAACCACTAGACACCTTGCCTTCAGGTAAGGATACCACATCCCAGGTGTGGTTGGATTCTAGTGCTGCAATTTCAGCTTGTATATCTTCAACCCACCTAGGATCTTGAGCAGCTTATTCAAAAGAAGCAGGTTCCTGTATTGCAGAGAATGCTATCAAATAGGCCTGATATTTTGGAGAAAGTCTATCATAAGACACATAGTTAATAATGGAATAGGGAATAGATTTGTGTCTAGGCTGTGACACAAAGTCCTTCATCCCTATGGGAGCCTGACTTGTCCTCAAAGATCTCCTCAGACCAGTGGAGTGCTGAGAGGGAGGAGGAAGTATAGAAGGCATCACATCTGCTGCAGGCTGATGCAAAGGAGAAGAGGCAGTAGACTCATGCCTAGCAGGAACAGGAGGAAGTGAAGGCTGCTCTTTACTAAAAGAGGACAATTCAGGAGGCAAGAAAATAGGTGGTGATGTGTCTGAGATGTTTTTGAAGGGAAATATATCTTCCATAAAGGATATATCCCTGTTGATAAAAAACAATGAGAAGAGAGATCCAGTAGAATGTAGGCCTTCTGAGAGTGAGAAAAGCCCATGAGAACAACTGACTTAGCCCTAGGAAGGAGTTTGTCTGTTTCACGAACTTGCTTGGCATAGCACAAGCAACCAAGAATTCTTATGTGACCAAGATTAGGTGCCCTACCATACAATAGTTCAAAAGGGGAAAGGCCATGAAGGACAGAAGATGGCATCCTATCTATGAGGTATACTGCTGCAAGCACATAATGCCCCCAATACTTGATAGGTATATTGGCCTGAAACCTTAAAGCTCGCGTGACTTCTAGGATGTGCATGTGCTTTGTCTCAGCAACTCCATTTGCTGAGGAGTATAAGCACATGTTCTTTGATGAATGATGCCATACTTCTGAAACAATGTGGTACAGCTAGAGTTGACAAACTCAGAGCTATTGTCTGACCTGACTACTTTCACAACTTTGTTAAACTGAGTTTGAATGAGCACAACAAGCCGAGTAAGCACCACACATACATCAGATTTGAGTTTCAGTAAAAAAACCAAGTCATCCCAGTAAAGTCATCAACAACTGTCAGAAAATACCTATTGCCATCAAAAGTTGGACAGTTATATGGACCCCAAACATCAAGATGTATTAGATCAAATGCAGAAACAGTCTTAATACAACTAGAAGGGAATGGCAACCTAGTTTGCCTTGCACAAGGTCATACAGTACACTTATTCACAGTTTCATTGATACTGGCTAGTTTGGAAGCAAACAATTTTCTAACAACAATACTGGATACATGCCCTAGTCTTTTATGCCACAAGGCAACATCAACTGTAGTGTCACCCTGTCTTGACTTTATTCCAGCAGCAGCTAAAGAGATTGCAGTGAGCATCTTCCCACCATATTTCTGCAGGAAGTATAGACCATCACTTTCTCTACCAATCTCCCTCACCCTACCACTGAAGAGATCCCGAAAGACACATAAATCAGGATAAACGGAAGCAAAGCATTTAAGATCCCTTGTCACTTTGGAGACTGATAATAAGTTGAACTTGAACTGAGGCACATAGAAGACATCTTTAAATGTGCTTCTGACTGAAATATTGCTGTCACCAGTCTGAGTTACTAGAGTGACATCTCCATTAGGTAGTAAGACTGTCCTAGACTTAGAAGGAGTAACTACAGAAGTCTTAGTAAGTAAGTTAGCATCTAACACCATATGATTAGTTGCTCCAGTATCAATAATCTATTCTTGTGGACTAATAGATACTAAGAGGGCAGTGCTAGTACCTGCCACATTTGCTTGAGCAGAGGAAGTGAATTGTTCGGAATCTGCATTATCTAATCATATTGATCTTTAGTGAAAGGAAAAACACTTCCTTCAGACTGTGGGGAAGAACCTGTGTAAGGTCTATGTGCCTGTATAGAAGAGAATCCTGCTAGAGCTTGTGTGCCATAATGACCCTATGCCTGATTCATGGCTTGTGAATACTCAACTCCTTGATTCATGACCTGTTGAGGATTTTGATATGCAGGCAAATGAGGCATTGATATTTGCTAAGATACTTGGTATGAGGCATGATTGGGGTACATGGGCATAGTGTATCCAGGTTCGACCATTGCATTATAAGTTCCATCTCCCCCTTTATTTTTGAATTTATAATCTGATAGATAACCTATTATTTTGTAGCAGTTTCTTTACTATGGCCCTTCATTTTGCAAAACTCACACTGAATGTTGTAATTCTTCCTAAATTTTGAATTGAAACTAGGTTTAGCACTATATAGTGCAGTCATATGAATGTGTTGCATTGACAGTAGGTGAGGATCCTAAGATGCCAGCAGCGACAGCTACAGCTATTTGGCTTTTATCACTCATAAGCATGGCATATGCTTGATTTACCGAGGGAAGCGGTTTCGTCATAAGTATTTGACTACGAGCTTCAGAGTAAGAATCATTCAAGCCCATTAGAAATTGATACACCTTTTGCTTTCGTAGATGCACTATAAACTCCTTTGTCTTAACACAATTACAGTCAGGAGTGGGTATAACAGGCTCAGTGTCATGACCCAAATCGATGGGCCGCGACGGGCATATGGTAACTTACTCAATCGAATACCAACATAACATATCTTTTTGTATCATGCTATCATAAGTAAATGAGATAGAAAGGCTGCCGTAGGATAACTAGAATAAAACATGTAATACTAACTTATACATAAGATATACGGGCCTATAAGACCAACATGAATACTCGTCCACTAAACATAGGCCGGCAAGGCCATACAATTTTTTATGTAAATGACATGTGTCTACAAGCCTCTAAGAGTACATAACCGTCATAAGCCCGGGACAGGGCTCCGACATACCAATCAGTACGTGTCCAATGCATACTAACCAAATAGGCAACTCCGGAGCAAATGGAGCGCACCAACACCTTCTGCTGAGCTGATAACTTACTTGGAGGACTCTCAACCTGTCTATCGGGACCTGCGGGCATGAAATGCAGCGTCCCCAGGCAAAAGGGACGTTAGTACAAATAATGTACCAAGTATGTAATGAATGAAAATCAGTAAATAATAGACATGAGAGAAACATGGAGTAAAAGACTCGACATGTAAGTCTGAATAGCTCTGTGAATCTTTTAGTATTTAAAATGTCATGCATATGCGTATAAATGCCATACCATGTTTGGGTATATGCGTTCATAAAATCATCAAGCCTCTGAGGGCATCCCATAATATCATCTTGTCCACTGTGGGCAAATCATCAACATATACCAGCTGATTAGGTGGTGGTGCGTATACAACGCCGTAGCCTTTTCCCATATCCATTATACATATGTTATACGTATATACGCGTATATAACTCCATCTGGTCATGGGTCAATGTATATGAATGTAATGCATGAGAAGTACGTAAATAAAATCTTTCGGAGTGTCATAAGACCATTATGCCTTTGATTAATATCACGAAATAAACTTTATCAACTTACGTATTTTCTGTGACCCATGAACAGATGATAGAATACTATGACATATGGGGAATCAAGAACATAAGCATCTCTAATATTTTTATGAATAGAGTCATGTATGGAAATTGTAAATTTGCTCGTTTCGTTTGTGTCATATGGATCATGCCAAAATAAATAAGGAATAGCCTTAACATACCTGAGTCGGTTGTCTGCATAATCCCTCTAACACACGACAATCACGACAAAACACGTGATGGCAAGACCGGAGTAGGAAAAATCCGTATGATATTCTTGAGAAAGATTGTACTGTACTCCCTTAAAATTGCAAGATCTCATGTTGCTTTGAATTGTTGAAGATCCTATCTTGCATATGACTTACGTTCGAGACTTATGTTTGTAACATAAAAATATTTATGTTTGAATGCATATAAGAATGGATTTGTGACTTATGTCCCTTAAGAATGGATATGACTCATGTTATATGTGTCTTTCCTTTATTAAATGAAAATGACACACATTCTTAAGACTTGACACATAACATAGTGATTTATGAGTGACCATTCTTGGATGGGTTTGCTGCCACATGGGAGATGTAATTGTTATCCCAATTATTTAAATTAATTATTCACTAATCACTTGATTAACTTATTAATCTCCCATTAACCAACCCTTTGTACACCTTACTATTATAGTCATGTGGTACCTTGTATGACACTAGTCCATAAATACCGTGTACTATAGCTCAGACCGTATTTTATCCCAAATTGACAAACTTCGACGAAACTCGTTTTCTTCGGTTCGCTTACCCTTTCACCTTTACGAATTTACTTATCACTTGTTTGAAATAGCATAATACTTGTAATCCCAAAATAATCTCATTCCCGAACTTACGTCGATTAACTTACGATGAAATTTTAACGTACGAAAATACGGGATGTATTATCTCATTTCCGAGCATTCATAAATTTCCTTATGGCGTACTTTTAGGTACGAAAATATGGGGCGTAACATCATTCCCCCTTTTGGAACATTCGTCCTCGAATGTTGACTAATGCATTTATCATTTTCATAACTTATGTCTTTCGAATACTTTAGTACTCCTCTTGCCATCTAGGCAACTGTTCTCTGAATGAATTCCAAAGGCCAGGGCATTCCCCTTTTTAGGCCTCTTTCTCACACCACAACTTGTGGTCGGAATCCTTCCAATCTTGTAACTGTTGCTACATTTTGTCATAGATCCGTTTATCCATCCTTATGACTTTACTACCATAACTCTTACTTTGATTTATCGTTACTGAGGTCTGCTACCGAACTCCAAGTTACTTTCATTGCTTATCCCATATGTATAAATCTAAGTCCTTTAATGCTTTCTCATTACTGTTCATCTTAAGAATGGTGGCCTAATCTCATCTCATACTTTGTGACTTTCGTCCATCCATTGTTAATTCACCTCAATATTAACCTACAATATACCGCTGATAACTTGAAACTTCTTACGTAATATCTTGCCACTTGGGCTTACGTTGCATCGAGGAATATTTGAAGTGATTTTCCTGATCGACTTAGGGGTGATATTGTACTTCAATGACCGTATTTTAAAGCATCCCAATGTGATTCACTTACGTGGGTATTTTAATATCGTACAATCCATGAAATCCTTTTCAAATCATTACTCACTCGAAGGCCTAAATGTCATCCTTTATCCATCACAATTACACCCTCATTGTACTATTAGGGCAGCATTCCATCTCTTCTAAATGCTAATAGTCTTAGACTCCATTGGGTTCATTCAGGCTATACTTAGCTTTCTATAATTTAGAGAAACCATCAGCTCTTCTTGTTTTCATGGGCTTAATCCCAAGGACTTATCCATTCTCGTCACCGTCTCACTCGTCTTTTCTTATCCTTACTCCTGTCTTCCTAAAACCTTGTCGCTCTACCATACTCTTGCTTGCGACCGACACATATCCATTTATACTACTCGCAACCTTCCTTCAACTTGCTTGTACCATAGATTTCCTTGTGTTTTTATGGAACATCAAGCGAGACATCACTTCGTCTCTAACTCTCTTTACTCTCTTTACTAGATCTCTCGGTACTTAGAAACCATAGGCTGGAAGGTATGCCACTAATGACACCGCTGCCATTCCTGGATACTGAATCCCAACTCTTCTAGTCCTCTATCTGAAGTATAGATTATTCACAATCTTCTGCACCTGAGTATCTCGTACGCTATTCACCTTTACCTTACTTACCTTAAAATCTCGCATCACATCTTCTATCTCTTTTAAGACCTTCCTTCCACATAGGTATAATTCACATCCACAACTTGAAGCTCTTATTATAATACTTGCACCTCTGGTGCATACACAATCTGGTGGGAGCTTCATACTGACTTCTTATGAGGCTGGTACTTTTCTAACTGGCTTTATCGAAGAGCCATTATAGAATATGGCTGTTTTACTATCTTTCTTGTACATCTGATATTAAGAGTGATTCTACAATGTTCTCAATCACAATTTCTATAATTTTCTGGGTCCAATAATCAGACTCCTGATTTACTTAGTTGATGTAACTCTTTAGTTTCCTCTTCCCTCTGATCAACCTTTATGAAGGCTTAAGATATCTTCCGATCTGCGGCTCCTGGTATTAGTTATTACTTTAGCCTTTCATGGGCGTTATGGAATATCTATGATACAATCTTCTAACAACTTAATCCTTTGTCTATGCCCTGAGCTAAATTCTTTCTTTTAACTTATACCGGAGTCTTCTATGTCTGTAGGATTGTACACATATATGCTGCATGTATAAAACTCTGAACTCTCAAGTGTGTAAATAACGTACACTAGGTCATTAATCGAATAATTCTTTTCGTTCCTTCTCAGTTTTTTAAAATGAAAGCAATTACTTTTCCTGGTCTTTCTGCCCCCTCATTGCATGCATACTTAGCTTACCTTAGTGCCCACACACATTGGAATTCCATACAAGTCATATGATCTTGAATATCACTTCTGATTTTACTTCCTGTTCATTAGCCACGGTAGGTGCCATTTTCTTATGGAGTGCATACAATGTTGTTGTGAGACTGTTGTTATAAGACCATTTCCTCCTTAGATCACTTAGCTTAGGTTGAAACCTTCTTCCTTACTTCCTCAGCTAGTCTTTCATTGTAGTATTTAGGGAGGATCCTCTGACTCTTGTAAACCTGTGAGCTTATTACATTGTACACTCGACGGTCCTTTTAATGTCTTTCCTTGCCTATAATTATCCGTAATTACTTACTTCCACCCCCTTGTACTTGTAGGGTTGCTTCTGAACTTGATATTTTGACTAACTTCCCAGTGGCTCTCTCTTTTATCTTTGTAACACTCATGTGGTACCTTTAACTATCCCAATTCCTATCTGAATATTTATCAAGTATTACAATGATATTACTATGAGGCTGAATTCACTATATTGGGATTTACTATGTTTATCTTGCACGATCTGTTGATTGTCTGTATCCTTTTGTATAGCCATAACTAGGCTCTTCCTGAATCAACTACTAACTACTCATCGGCTCATTCTCATATCAATATTCCACGTAATCTTTCTTGGGTCATTTCTTTTGTCTTAACTTATGTCCCGCACATGCTTCTTATCTGTCAATAACATCTCGCCTTTTTTCCTCTCCTTGACGTCGTGTTTTCATAATATTCTGGAATCGTAGCATATTTGTAGGCTTTGAATAAGTGCATATTTGTAGGCTTTGAATAAGTGCAATGTCATCCTTTTTCTCATTTTTTTCGCATTCTTCCTTTACCATTCCATAATTACTAGAACCACTTAATTCTGACTTAATGCCACCTTACTCCATATTCCCCCCTTTAGGGGAGTACTAAGAGTTGGAGTTACGATGACCTACCTATAGATGTTTTACCTCTTCATCTTTGTCGTCCTTTCACATCATCGATGACCCTTATCGCCTTGCAGTAGTCCTTCTGTACCAAGGATAACAAAATTCCTTACTCGCGATGGTGACACTTAGTGTAACTAACACATACAG